AATTAAGATAAAAATATTTGCTGATTATATATGTTTTGCAAAACCTGTTGAGCCAATTATTTCAGCTCCAATTCTTGCTTGACTAAACTTAATAACTTGTAGTAAAATTATTATTATTTCTGATGACACATTATGAATAATTAACAATTTTGAAAAAAATTAGTTTTCATACGTACTATTATAATAAACTATTAGTAAATTTAATATATTTAGCAGTAGATTCACTTTTTTTCTTAGATTAAATAATTTACCTAAAAATAGTTCTGAACTTATTCCTGCTTTCTCTTTTATATTCTTGACATGATTAAAAAATTAAAATATTCTATCAGGTCAAAATCATATTATTTTTTTTTAAAATATGTATAAATAATCAAGATGATTTAAATATAAACAATTTGTATTATATTAATTTTTCAAAATACTTATCTGAAAAATAAAAACTGGTAACAAAGGAAAAAGGTAATTTTAAAATAATTTCACAAATATATACTTGCAGTTCAAGAGACAAGAAAAGATTTTATTAAAATTTTATTAATTTAAATTTATGGTACTATATCATATGAAGCTATATATATCATAAATAGAAATGTTTATAATATATTTGAAAAAGCAATGAGACAGCTTAGATTATTAGATAAAGAAAATAATGAATTTGATAAAATATCTTGATAGAGTTGCAATTATTTGTCTCTATATTATTATTTAGTAATTCAAAAGAGTTAAATGCTTATAAACTTTTAAAAGAGCACTTAAATGATTTAGATGAAGATTATTTGAATTAATAATAACAACTCAATAATACTGAAGATTTATCTAATAGAGATTATTCAATTGTAATCATAAAAATATAAATAGATATTAAAAAATATTTATTATCTTATGAAAAATATTTGACTGATTAGGCTATTTCTCCTCCTAATTATTCTTTACTGAAGAATTTACAAGATCAGATTTAATATCAGAAGAATTTAATTAATTCTAATGAATTAAATGCTCTCTTAAATAATATAGATCAGATAAATATTAATTAAAAAAACATTTATAATACAATCTTTCAAGCTCTTAAAAATAAATAGATAAAAGAATATATTTTGTTGATGGTTCTGAAGGTTATGAAAAGACCTTTTATTAACATAATTTTGGCAAAAATAAGAGTAGATAATAGAATAACTATTGCAATTTCTTTATTAAAAATTGTAGCTTTATTATTAAATAGTAGAAGAACAGCACATTTAAGATTTACAATTCTCATAAAAAGTGAGATTTGCCCTTGAATTTCCTTAATATTGATCGTAAAAATTGAACAAAAGAAATTTAAGATTTTAAAACTAACTTTATTATTTTTATTATATACACATCTCCATCCGTCTTTTTCAACTTTAGTTGGATCCCTGAAAATATATTTAATCGATTTACCTTCTAAAAAAATTGAGCTTGTTTTGCGTATGACGAGAAATTTTGGGATATAAAACTGAGATGTTAACAAAATCAAAATCATTCATTTCAAACTCAGAAAGGTTCATGGCGGATATTGAATTGATGATCCATTGGGAATACTGTAATTATTTTTGACCCATAAAAGGATAAACCAAGTATATCAGCTTGGACTATTATATTAACAAATATGAAACATTTCGGATTACACGCCGATTTGCATGTATCATTAACAATTATTGTTTATTCCTAATAACTTAGTTGAATTTTCCATATTCTATACTTTAATACTTTTATAATAAAAAGATTTTGTTTAGAGGAGAGAGGTGGAGATTTATTGATTTCTCACAAGAAGACGATAAGTAATGTATATGCTTCATGTTATTTCATTCATTTTATGTATGATAATCACAGATTTATACTAATTTTTTTAATTGATTAATTTTTTTATTTCAACTTCAAGAATTATATTTTTACCAAATATACAAATTAGTTTTTTAAATAAATATAAATTACGTAAAATTATTTGAAAATTTAGCTCATTATGCATCTATTAATTAGTGCTTCGTAAGGGTCGGGTCAGGTCAGTTTAAGGCATATTCGAATTAGAACCTGATAATAATAACAGAACTTGAATTCGACTCAACCTGATTATTGTTTAACCCAGACTTGAATTTTCAAGGGTAATATTAATGCCGAAAATAAAAAAAATTGTCATATAAAGTTTATTTTATTTTTAAAAAAATTTATTATTTTTTTTTTGTGAGTACCTAATCCTAATTCTTTTTTACATCTTTTTCTACCAGGATTTAAAGCACATACAAGCGCGAATTGTATTAGCTTTAAGATCACATCTTTTGGTTGACATCAGATCGCTTCTGCCAGAAAAAATTCGTTCTATTGGACATTTGTTGTCTTATAAAAATATATTAGTTAATGATAATCGATAATGTTTCTTTTTTACCTTTAATTGTTCACTCCGCTATGCTTTTCGTTTTTTAGAAGAAGCAGTACTATTGGTAACGTTGATAGTATTTATTTGTTACAAATTAAAGTTAAAAAAAAAAAAAGTCTATCCTGATCATCCGGATCACCTGGGTCAAGCAAAAACGTCGACGGTTTTTTGAAATAGTATCGTGTCATCAATGTCCGACTTTATCCCAAAGATCCATTTTCCTGAATGGACGTTTTCCCGAAAACTTCGGGCAGAGTTATCATAATGTAGGTCAAACTTTTCGGGAAAACGTCTATTTGGGAAAACGGCTTTCGGGATAACGTACTTAACCAAATGCTAATGCTAAAAATTAAAAACTACGAAAAAAAATAAAATAATAAAAACAAATAAAAATCAGGGAAATAAAATTAACGAAGTTACTACATAAAAATAATTAAGCTAAAATGGCGAAAGCGATAATGTCACAAGAGGAAAATGAAAAGATTGGGGGTGAAGTAAAAAAGTGAAAATTGCTAAAACCTTAAGAAAAACCCGTTGTATGTAAAAAAAAAAAAAAATCCGAAACCTGATAAAAAATTGATCTACCGAAACGATCTTTGTGGGAATTATATGGTATAAAAATTTGCTTTTTGCTTATGCTTTGCATAATATATAATTATATTTTCCATAAAGAGGGTCAAAATTCTTTATTATAAAAAGAAAACAAAAGACAGCACATTTCAATATAGATTTTCAAATATTACCCGAGATTCCTTTTTTTTTTTTTTTTTTAATATAATTTAGCTTTTTACGCAATAAACCTTGACCAAAAAAAGAACCAATGAAAAATAACCAACATTTCGTAAATTTGTGTTTGTGTTGCAGTCAACCAATGATGTTGCTTCCGATCAAGTTTAGAATTTGACATATAAACTTACTGCATATACACTTCCCGGTCAAAAGTATTGGACCAAAAAAAAGTTATCGCAACTTTTAAATTTATGACTAATTTTAATTTTTTAATTATA